CCCGTGACCCAGAAAGGAAAGATAATGGATGGATGGATTTTCAATAGTTACTCTGCTCAGGGGCTGTGGTAGCTCAGTGGTCAGTGCTGCAGTCTCATAATCCCGAGGCTGCAGGTTTGAACCCAGTTTGCATCAGAAAAGAGCATCTGAGGTAAAATAATTGGCAAAGCTTTTGTGCATTTGCTCAGAGATGACACCTGCAGACAGGAGCAGCTGAAGGGGAAAAAATATATACATTTTGTCATGTTGGCCTATATTTCTGGAACAGCTGGAAATCCCTCAGTGAATGTCACCTTTAAGACAGCTGCTCATTCTTTGTTCAGGTGGGTCGAAGATGAAGCTGCATTATGCAAATGTGTTTCTTAGGGATGTAGACAAAGACATGAACAGAAGTTTTCTACATTAAGCAGTTTATGTTGCTCACTAACAGGGTGTTCTGCAAACTTTATTTAGTGTTGACTTTGAGCTTTGCAACATTACAAATCTAATTTATATACACAAAAAGTGGAAATATGGAAAGCATGATAAATCCACAACCCACAGTCAAAATAAGATAAGCAGCATTATTAAAATGTAATAGCTTCATACTATAGGAGCTTATTTTGTCTGTACTGATATAACTGATAAGAAATGAAGCAAAATAAAATGTTAAAAACAAACGAACAAACAAACAAATGATTTGATGAAATCTAAAAATAATGTTGTTAGCATCAGGGTGCTACTGCCTCCATGCTGGAGAGATGAACAGAAGCAGTTTCTTCACACTTTCACACTTTGATATTTGCTGTAGTGAGAAAATGCTCAACATGGCCGGTGTTTGCACATGATTGTCATGGATGGATTTCAAAAAGATCTTTCAATAAATAATGTACTAATAAATATAAAATAAACTGCAAGTATTTTAAGCCATATGATATACCAACATTGGGACGTCACCTCCTTATTTTCACACAAGCTTGTTCAAAACATCCTTGACAATCAAATCAGAGTACAAAGAGATATATCAAGGTCAAGCACTAAACAAAAAGCTATGCCTCTTCTTCATCATAGTTAGCAGGGCAGATGTGAGGGGTAATCAAGGAGAATGGACACCATGATAACAGACTTATCCTATGTGTTGCTAGGCAACTAATCCAGCAGCAGGCACGGCATAACAAGGCCTGGATGTTGTGACAATGAGGGCCAATCAACAGAAGCCTATCTCGGAGAACGCCGTCTGCTCGGCTCCATCTTCACGTCTCGCATCATGCAGCGGGCTCACGCGGTGATCACTGGTGCGTGGTGTTCACTGGGTGTGCTCAGAGTGAGGCTCTCGTTTGTGACAGCTTCCTCCACCAACAGCATCCAGAAAACCAAACCGCTCCCGTGAGCAATGTTCATACCTTGAGGCACAAGGCTGAGGGAGTGGACAGGCAACACGTTTCTTGCAACATTTTACATTTTTTGCTGTTACACACTCAGTCATGGTAGGAAACGCGTCACATTAGACAAATCTGGCTTTTCTGTCAAACTGTAGCTCTTTAATCGTGAACTGCTGTGAAGATTTTAGCTCCCTCTGTTAACTCTGTAACTTAGCTCCACCAGCTGAGCCACCGTGCTGCCCTAAACCAGAATTCATCAGTGTGTGATGAATGGGATGAAATGTTTTAAACTTTTTTGAACTCTACCCACAAAGATATTATTGATCTGCTGCTGCCTTGATTCCAGGACTGGATGATAAATTAATTAAAATAAAAAGACAGACAAAAGTCAGAGTTTCTTAATTGTCATTCGCACCTCATGTGGTACATGTGGTGGAGCGAAATTATGTACACAGGGTCCCAGTTACATCCAACAATAAATGTAAAAAAATATATATATAACAGTAATAACATCTAAGATATGAACTAAGAAAAACATCAACTAAATATACACTAACACTACGCACTCATAACATAAAACATTACGTGGAACATCAACACAAACATGAACATGAGTCCGTGTAAGCAGATGAGCACGCATGAACACATAAACATTGAAACAGATCAGCAGCAACATTGAGACAGATCAGCAGCAACATGAAACAGATCAGCAGCAACATGATGTGATTTTTTTCACAGTGATTATTCTGGTTAGAGATTCATGAGTCTAACAGCCTCAGGGTAGAAGCTGTTCCTCAGTCTAGTGGTTCTACACTTAATGCTCCTCAACCTCCTTCCTGAGGGGAGTGGGGCAAAAAGTGTGTGTGCTGGGTGAGTGGGGTCCTTCATGATGCAGGTGGCCATCTTCCTGCATCTGAAGGTGTAGATGTCTGTGACGGTGGGAAGACTGACTCCGACAGTCTTCTGTGCAGCCTTCACCACTCTCTGCAAAGCTTTTCTTTCTGCAGCTGTGCAGCCTCCATGCCACACGTTGGTGCTGGAGCACAGGATGCTCTCCACTGCACACCTGTAGAAGGAGGTGAGGACTGAGCTTCCCAGACCAGCTCGCCTCAGCCGTCTGAGGAAGTAGAGTCTCTGATGAGCTTTCTTGATCAGGCTGGTGGTGTTGTTGCTCCAGCTGAGGTTATTCATGTGTACACCCAAGTACTTGAAGCTGGAGACCACTTCCACCGCAGATCCTCTTATGTTCAGGGGGGTGTAGATGTTTTTGTTCCTTCTGAAGTCCACAATCATCTCCTTTGTCTTCTTCACATTGATGTGAAGGTTATTCTCTTTGCACCAGCTCTCCAGGTGTTCCTCCTGTAGCTGGACTCATCATTGTTTGTGATGCATCCAACCACCACTGTATCATCTGCAAACTTTACAATGTGACATCCTGGATGGGTAGCTGCACAATCATACGTGAGCAGAGTAAACAAGAGGGGGCTCAACACACATCCCTGAGGAGAGCCAGTGCTGAAGGTTATGGTGGAGGAGGAGAAGTTGTGGATCCTCACTAACTGTGGGCTGTTTGTTAAGAAGTCTAGTACCCAGTTGCAAATGGAGGGGCTTAGTCCTAGTGTGGATAGTTTGTCCATCAGGGTTTGGGGGATCATGGTGTTGAAGGTGGATGTGAAGTCCACAAAGAGCATATGGACGTAAGAGTTTTATGCTCCAGGTGGTTGAGCGCAGTGTGGACCACAGAGGAGATTGCATCCTCTGTTGATCGGTTCTCACGGTATGCATACTGATGAGGGTCCTCGTTGATGTTGATTGTTGTTTTAATGCGAGTCATGACCAGTTTTTCGAAGCATTTTGCGACTGTCCGGGTGAGGTCCACTGGCCGATAGTCATTCAGACCAGTCACTGTAGAGCTTTTTGGGACTGGGATGATGGTGGCAGTCTTCAGGCAGGTGGGAACTGTCTCCAGGGTAAGTGAGGTGTTAAAGATGTCTGCCAGCACCTCGCAGAGCTGATCGGCACATTCTTTCAACACTTTTCCGGGGATGTTGTCTGGGCCAGTTGCTTTGTGCGGATTAATCCAAAGCAAAAGCAAAGTTATTGTTCTTTATCACCACCACCCCTACAAGCACCAAAGGAAGAGAGACATGTTTGAACTTAGTGTGTCAAACTGATGGCTCGCAGGCTAGAGTCGGTCCTCATTACAATTTTATCTGGTCCTCAGTCAGATTAAATTTTGATTCAATTTCAGGTCTCTCTAATAAAATGAGTCCCCGAGGCTCAGTGGGATTAACCTGTATAAATAAAGGTTGAATGAATGATGATGGGGCGAGTCAGAATTCAGACTTTCGGGGCCTTCCAGTGGAAATCTTTTGACTTGAGCACAAATGGAACGGCCCATCAGTGCCTGAGCTGCAGTCCTGGTTCTGCTCCTTCACAGAACCAATCAAATATGTGCTGGTTCGATCCCAAAGCAGCATTTTCAAGTTGGGAACACTTTCCTATACATGCTGTCCCTGGTTATCCTTACATACTGATCTTTAGTTCACTTTTATGAAGTGTTTGTGTTTTAAAAAAGGTTTGTGAGCTCAGTCATCCAGGTAGATAACAAAACAGGTTAAATCGTGTCATCTGGACCAGTTTCTTTAAATGAGTAATGTTTCTTCTCCCATCCAGAGGACTTTGTCAGCCTGCCATGACTTAACCTTTTTGTTGTTTTAATTGAAATGCACGCATTTGTTTTTGTAGTTATGGTCACAGTCTGCTGCAAACGGTCTCTTGTGTTGAAAGGTAAATTTCCTCTAGTTACCTGGACTCCCTCGACATTATTTAAGATGTAAACACTGGGGTAAAACCAAACCAAATACTTTATGTAATTTTGTGAATTGGCCAGATAATTCATCTTTTGTCAATTGCTATTTTTAAACATTTACTTAATCATTAATTGAACTTATGTCTTTTTTAAATTGCTCTGTGGTGGCTTCTATTGAAAAATAAAACAAATAAATTGACACAGTTAGTTCTGATCATACCACCTATTTCTTTAGACAAAGGAGCAAAAAAGAAAAAAATAATCACGTCATGTCTTTTTATCAGTGAATTTAAAAAAAAACTCAAAGTGCTGGTGATTTTCAACCATATTCACAGTTTTCTTTATTTTTATATGAACGTTAGAGCAAGGCTACAAAATAAATTGTTGTGCATTTGTTTACACAGTTCTTGAACTCATTTAACTTAGAAATAATCTGTTTTTGTTTCATTATACGTTCATAAAACGCAACCAGTTTTTAATCGATACAGGTAAAAACATTTTAAAAGCTGTTTAATCAAGACCACTGAGACTTATAATAAATAGAATCTAAATAAGTTATTGTTGTGTGAATATAATTCAGTTTTAACGATAATGAAAATACAGCTGTATTGTGAGAACTATTGTTAAAGTGCGCGCAGTGTATACAGAAAACAACAACAACAGTGTTTTGTTATTTTTATGATTCTAAATAACTGAACGTTTTGTATTGGAAGGCTATATATGACATGGGTCCATTTTAAATATGATCAAAATCACAGTGGTAAAAATCCACCTCAACAACTGAATATGAGAAAAAAAAATGTCAGCGTGATCTGGCCGTGATGACTTCACTGCTCCATGTCATTATCATTCTGCAGCGTTTTCATGGCCAGACCCCACAAAGTTACACTGGAGATAAACTGGCCTTCACTGGACCTGTAGGGTCTACTTGACCCTGTGAAGGAATTGTCTGTGGGGGGCAGGTAGGGTCTCCCTGCTGGGTCACTGTCAATGGACATGTTCCCGTTCTCCATGTAAGGACCATAAACGATCTCTGGAGTCTCGTGCAGCTTGGACAGCTTGATGCGGTCTGCGGGGAGGAGAGCTGCACTTCTCTCCTGGTGGCTGGATGACAGGAGGTGATGGGGAACCAGGGAGCGCAGCTCTGGAAGAGATGTCAACGCTGGGCTGAGGTGCATGCTGGGAGGTGGAGTCTCTATATGCTGTGTTGCTTGTGGCGATGAAGGACTGGGCGGTGAGGGCTTATCTAACTCTGTGTTGGGCATCATCGTGGAGAAGTGTTGCTCAGAGGTAGCAGCAGGTGGTTTGTTCAGGCCGACCGGTTTGGAGAAGGAGGCAGCTCCATCTGAGCTGTGTGTCTGCTCGGCGTCCACCGTCACCGGGCTTGAAACTGGTGGCCCCTTGCAGTGCATGTTGCTGTGCCTCCTCAGCATAGCAGAACGGGTAAAGCTCTTTCCACATGTAGTGCAGATATAGGGCTTCTCACCAGTGTGTGAGCGTATATGACGTTGAAGGTCTCCTGAGCCAATGAAGCACTTCCCTGCATAAAACAACAAATACTAAATGTAAGATATGTTGCACCACAATATTTACAATCAGGGCTCATACGTACCAGGTATAACATGAGCGATGAAGCTCAATTTAATAAATATTACTACTCATTTACTTGACTTTGAAACAATAAACTAAACCTCTCTAAAATATCACATTTGGGTTCTTCAATATTAATTTAATTTCTTGTCTCAATAGTAGATCTAAATTAAACCTACACACATATATATATTTTTTTTTTCTTTTTTTACTGTGTATAAACACATTTTCCTACTTTCAAAGAGTGAGTAAAATATTTCAAAGGCTGCGATAACATGTTAGCAGGATAGTTAGAGTTACTCCTGTTCTCTGTATCCAGAAAATAAAAATTGACAATTGCACATTTGAAAAAGACAAACATATTTTTTACTCAAACATGTAAAAAGATAATTATTTTTAAACTTTAATTCCTGTGCAATAAAAAACAATGTGAATAACGTTTAATAAATAAAGGCTTAGCATTCCTTGAAGGAATACCTGCACCTGCCACCGTTCATGACAAAGTTTTAGATTAAGATCGTTTTATGTTGATAAATGACAGATTTGTCACTGTTTTTGTCAAACCGTGAAAATGACATGCATCATTTCATACAATACTGCAATATTAATTAACTAATATTTCCTCTACTTCCTCAGGTGGCTGAGACGAGCTGGTCTGGTAAGCTCAGTCCTCACCTCCTTCTACAGGTGTGCAGTGGAGAGCATCCTGTGCTCCAGCATCAACATGTGGAATGGAGGCTGCACAGCTGCAGAAAGAAAAGCTTTGCAGAGAGTGGTGAAGGCTGCACAGAAGATGTTGGAGTCAGTCTCACCACAGACATTTACACCTCCAGATGCAGGAAGAGGGCCACCTGCATCATGAAGGACCCCACTCACCCAGCACACACACTTTTTGCCCTGGTCCTCTCAGGCAGGAGGTTAAGGAGCATTAAGTGTAAAACCACTAGACTGAGGAACAGCTTCTACCCTGAGGCTGTTAGACTCATGAATCTAACCAGAATAATCACTGTAATGACACTTTAATTGGAGATTTGACACTTTATCCATGCTGCTGATTTCTTACCTTAAGCTGCTATATTCATACCTCTCTGCTCACAAACAAACTCAGGTTCAGGCTGCTGTTTCATACACCATATTCTATTATATTATTATTGTTTAGTGTAGGTTTGTCGCAATAAACAATAATTGCATGATAAAGTTAAACGAGGTCAATAATTTTCATTTATTGGCTTTATTGTTTCTTCACATCTCTCTCTTTCTACTGAAGACTCTGGATGACAAAAGGCTCCACCCCGGTGCTCTTCACTGACCCCTCCCTCTCTCTTTTCTTAGCGTAAGGGGGGAGTGAACTATCGTGTCAGGTAGCTGCCAAGGCACATCGTCTTGTATCTCTGCAGCATTAGAGCCCCAAGCTAAAGAAAGAAATGGAATTAGTTTCAAAGTTGAATGCAACAGCAGCAGCAGTGTGGGAACGCTTCGGATTCAAACCAAATGACCGAGGCGAACCGCTGAACCTTTGCGAGACAGTATGTCGCATTTTTCATAAAACTGTAGCAACTAAGAGCAGCAATACAACCAACTTGCACGTGCACCTAAAGCACAATCATCCAAAGCAGTTTTTGTTTATAAAACTGGCAGTTTTGCCCGTCTTCTCTATATAAAACTAATGATTATTATTTTTTGAAAGGCAATTTAGTTTACAGACTTCATAATCTTTACTGTTTTGGCTTAATGTAGTTTTTATTTCCATTTTTTTGTTGTATTTAGATTTTATTCATGTGCATTTTTTTGTTAACGGAGACTGAGAGTCAGTATTATTTTTGTTTTTTGTTTATTTTCCAGTTCCAGTGTTAAGTGTTCTTTTGAAATTAAAGTTTATTGATCTTTGAGAGGATGTACTTGCATTATTATGTCATTATCATTACATTAGTTCAAAACGGTCTCCAAACAACATCATCGTTGCAATAATTTCTGAAACAACTAACCGCACAACAAAATTTGTTATCGTGACAGGCCTAGTTTAGCATATATCTAACATCCTTATATACAATTTATTTTTTTATACTTTATATTGTTGCTATTTTTGTGTGTAACTGGAAACTTGGGTACACAATTTCGTTTTACCTCATGTACCACATGTGATGCAAATGACAGTAAAGTTACCTTGAAACTTGAATATCGTGCAAGATCTCCCATAATCTGTTAGCACTTCAGCTGTGGTCAACATCTTTAACTAGGCTGACTCCAAAAGATAATCATTTAGTCATGTACAGCTAATAGTTACCGAGTTACTCAGTTGCACTGAAATCTGTCCAGGTGTTCATAGATATTTTGCTAACAGACCAAAAAAGCTAACTCCAAATATTAACAGCAAAGTTTTAAGCCAAGACTGCACAATGTGATGTGCTCAAATTATGTTTGGGACAATGCTCAGCTGCTGTCACACCAAATGTCAGCTCAATTTCTGTCAAACTGGCTGAGTTAAAGCCATTTGGTTTCATCTTGAATTAGGTTGAGTTAAAAATTAAGCAGTTGTAGATGCACATCCAATGAACACACACCTGCCTTTAGCTTTTGTTGCCGAGCGGTACTTAAAGAGACTGATCCTTACCACAGGTGGCACAGCTGTGTGGTTTTTCTCCAGCGTGACGAGCCCTGTGCTTCAGAAGCTTTCTGTGGGTGTTGAAAGATTTTCCACATTGGTCACAGGTGAAGGTCTTTTCTGTTGCATGAGTCCTTTTGTGCTCCTTGAGATTACTCAAGTTGTTAAATCCTGAACAAAACACATGACAAGGAGAAACATCTCTCTTAGAAACAACCTGTCATTTTCTAGCTGACCCTTAGAATAAGCACCTAAAACTTCTATTGAGTTAGAAGAAAAAGACAACCAGGTCAGAAAAAAATGCAATATGAGAGCGATGTACCTCGACCACATATATCACACAGGTGTGGTTTCTCTCCAGTGTGAACCACTTTGTGGCGCTGGACATCCCCCGCTGCAGTAAAGCTGGAAAAAAGATAAATATTCAGTTTAGGACATTAAAAATAAAAGTTCAGGCTAACTACTACTGGCCAGCATCATACAGTAATAACAAAGTGCTACACTTGAATTTGTTTATTCCTACCACTGACTTATAATTAAAATATTACTACCGTACTTTTTGCCGTACTTTTTGCCGTATTTTCTGCGACTTAAGACAGTGAAGCGATTTGTTTATAACCCAATTTTTGGCTGAGATCTGATGATTTCATTCATTCTGACATGGAAAATATTGAACATTACCATTTTCAGCCACTAGAGGGCGCTCGAGTAATATGGCAAGCAAAGTGTCTCATTAATAGGTAATTGTGGCTATTAATGAGACACTTGGCTTGCCATACAGGCAACCTTCGTCTCGCTTTGGAACTCCTGGAGCAAACATCAAATCAGCTGCATTTCACCGCTCTGCCCAGGTGAAATGCAGCTGATTTGACCGTCAAAGTGCATTTATTAAGGAAAAGTTCAACTGAGACACACCTTTACTATAATGTCGAGCAAATAAATAATTGTTTTAGGTGGTTATTTTGTTAAATTCTGAAGAAATGCACAGCAAGTCCTCCCTCCACACGCAAATCGGCTTTTGAAATGCAGCTGATTTGACCGTCAAAGTGCATTTATTAGGAAAAGTTAAATTGATATACACCTTTGCTATAATTACAAGCAAACAAATAATTGTTTTTAAGTGTTTATCTTGTTAAATTCTTGTTAAAGTCCTCCCGTGCATGCTCCCGCAGCTGCCATTTGGCAGCCAATCGATTTTTGGCACAACACCGGCCCACGTTTCCGGGTGGTCAGCGGTGAAGAATAACAAACATCAGCTGTGACACATAATAGTTGCGACTTATACGGCAAAGCGACTTATTTATGTTTTTTTTCCATTTTATTAGACATATTTGGACTGATGAGACTTATACGGCGATGCAACGTGTACGGCAGAAAGTACGGTATTACTGAAATAAAATAAAAAATATGCTCCAGGTAAGTTCAGCATTAAAGACAAAAGAAATCACAAACTGAAGAGTAAATTGCAACGATTCTGAATGAATTACAAATATTTTTTTAAAGTAAAGAAATATCAACAAAACAAAGCTGTTAATGGTGACTCATATAGCTGTAGAAATGATTAAACAGATCAACGTTACCTTTTACCACATAACTCACAGATGTATGGCTTTTCTCCAGAATGTCTTCGCAAATGTGTCTGTAAATTTCCTGCCTGTAAGGAAACAAAAGTCACTTTTCTATCTTGGTACAAACCAACCATCAGAAAAGAATTGTGTCAAAATTAAAATTTGCACCAGGGAATACCTGTGAGAAGTGTTTTCCACAAATACTGCACTGAAACGGCTTTTCACCTGCAACAGAAAATGTATGTAAGTTTCTGTCATAGCTGTAGGATTAATGATGTTGCTGTTTATCACTGGGATAATTAAGAATGTGGATTAAGTGATACCAGTATGTGAGCGCTTGTGCAGCTCCAGATTGCTCGGATGTTTGAAGATCTTCCCACAGACGTCACAACTATACTGCTTGTGTCCTGTTTGCTGTGAAGGCTCTAACACAGGCTTCATGCTGATCTCCTTTGGGTTTACAGGTGGAGGACTGGGAAGTGGAGCGTCTATAATCTCTGAAGTCTCCTCTCTGCCTGCAGGGCTGCCTTCCACAGAAGCTTCTGGAGCTTCAGTTTGGGTCAAGGGCTCACCTGGATTACTTGCTTTAGGACAGTTCTGGATGGGTTCAATGACCGACTCAGTGCCCATCTCCTCCAGAGCTTTCTGAGAGCAGAGGTAGTTATATTTCTTCAGGTATACAGCCTTCTTGGGGCGAACCAACTTGTTAAGCATGGAATCAGATGAGTCAGTGTTAGGGGCGTTTAGATTATCTGAAGGTGTCAAAGATGAAATTGTATTTTTTTCCACTGTTACAGATGTAACAGGATTGGACGGCATTGTGTTTCCTGAACTTACAGGGGCATTACTACCTCCCTGGTTCATTCCAAGCTGACACTGCTGTTCCTCGGTTAATACCAAGGGGCCTGGGCCTTGATTTGAGACTGCGCTGTTGGTTTGCATAGCACTTTGTTTGAAATACTGCTTACTGTAGAAGTTACGGAGCTTATAGCCATGAACCAACTGTTTTTCTGCAGGTGCTTGAGAGCTGCTAGGTAAGTCACAGTTTGAGCTATTATTAGGCAAAGAAACTGGCGTCCTTCTTGTGTGGTCCATGTCACTGTAAAAGCCGGGCCGCTGAGATTCAGAGGGGCAGTGGAGGTCGACATCATGAGGAAGACTACTTCCCAAAAGGCAGTCGTGGTCGGAGCTTAGCATGCCTGGGAGAGTAAATGAAGACATCTCCACGGGTGGAGGGCAGGGCTTGAGAAAAGCATTACACATGCTCTGCACATTTGGAACCTGCAAGCTCTGAGCAATGTCCAGGAGGGCTTGCACGTTGTCTTGGTTAATGTCAAGATGGGAGGTATACATGTAGTCCAGGATCTGGCCGATGCCACTGACATCCTGGATAACCAGGTTGAACACGTCATTTTTCTGACTTGGAGAGTTTTGGAACAAAGATCTGGAAAATCATACAATTTCCAAATTATGGTTTTATGTAACATATCAGCAATATTAACTGTAATTGTGAAATTATCTTTGTATATATTTCTACCTGAAATAAGAACTGAAAGCAGCAAGGACGTTTTTGTGTGCTTTGAAGCAGACACCTTTGACAACCAGCATGCAGTCACAGAGAAGGCCCTGAATCCTTTGCTCTTGGAGCTGCTGGAGGAGGTAGGAGCTGTGGCTGGACAGGGAGTCCATCATGGTCCCTCAGCTGCTGCAACTTCTATATCTGATGGGGAGGGCAGGAAAAAAGAAAGACAACTAGAACAGTTTAATATAGAGTGACTACATGAAATTCGTTTATATTCCGTTAGTCAGCTGATACAACTAAGACACTTCTTAAGTTTCAGCACTTTTTTATATTGCTCATTAATAACTGCGCAGAATCGAGAATCCACTGAGCCCGAGCTACGAGACCACCCAGGCAAAAATTGGACGAAAACAAACGACAAATTGGCGCTAGCAACAATGCTACGCTAACAAAACAACATTTATTTATTTTTAAATCGTCATATTTTCGACCACAAATAAGTGCTTCACGTCCCTAGCTTATTATTTTTATTTATAAAAACGAGACTTGCAGTAAAGCGTTCCTACCTTTTATTGGGATGATGGGTCACTTTCGACTTTATAACATGACGTCATTTCCTGGTGCAGCGTCTATTTTAAACGATACTAACGGAACAATCATGTAGATACTATAAACAGTAATAATGCGACATATGTGTAACCTTTATTGGCTATTACAAACTAAATTGTAAAATAAATATTAATAAATTAGTTTAGCATAATTTAGTTTAGGCACTGAACGTTGTTTCAGTCTTCCTCGGAACCATTCTTCAGTTGTTATTGCCTACGGAGCGCTGACGATGTAGAACTGAAGTGTGTCACATGTGTTTTGAAAAGTTGCCACCTAGAAACTCCGAACGTTCAATTTCAAATGCGAACTCGAAAGAAAACAAATTTAGTTTAACGGTAGCAACGATTATACGTTTTTAAATAGTATTGTTTATACAAACTATACTATATTTATATCTCTACGTATTTTATTACCGGTAATTTGTAATATTCGCCAGATTTTGGATATTCGTTAGCTTGTGTCCTGCTTACGCGTAAGGATTTTACAAACTTTACACGTAGTTTTGATCAATTTGGACTGTCTCAAGTGATTGATATCGACGAAATAGTTTTAGCAATGGTCTTCTTCACCTGCAATGCGTGTGGCGAATCCCTGAAAAAAGCCCAGGTAGAGAAGCATGTGAACATGTGTCGTGGGTGTCAAGTCCTGTCCTGTATCGACTGTGGAAAAGACTTCTGGTAATTAATGATCAAGTTTCTACAATGCTGTTGTCTGTTTCCAAGATGTTTTTAGTTGAAGTACCTTCCCCACTCAACTGACACAGTGGTGTTTGTCTTTGTGTCCTACAGGGGCGATGACTACAAAAACCACATAAAATGTATCAGTGAAGATCAGAAGTATGGAGGCAAAGGCTATGAGGCCAAGGCAAACAAGGGAGATGTGAAACAGCAACAGTGGATACAGGTAAACATATCATGTAAAGTTAGTAGGCTTTGATTATGAAAGGTTTTTCATAATTCTTTTTGTATCTTTTTTCCTTTCAGCGAGTACATGAAGCCATGAACAAACCTGGTGTTAGTGCCAAGCTGAAAGATGTACTCAGACAAGTTAGTACATATGATAATGTACCGAGGAAGAAAGCCAAGTTTCAGGTTAGTAACACTAGAAAGAGTAACAATATATTTTTTACAGTCAGAATACCTCGTAGACAGTGTTATTTCCTGTGTGAGAAAATGCTGGTGTAATGTGACCTTTAAGTAATCATTTTTCTTTTTCTCTTTTAAGAACTGGATGAAAAACAGTCTTAAAATAGGCAACGCTAGTCTACATGGTGAAGTGTGGGACATAATTACTGCTGCTGATAGTGTAAGTTACTATTGTTTAATGTGGTTTTTTTTTCATTTTTTATTATCTACATAAAAAAATGTAGAGTTCTAGAGTTGCGCCGCTCAAGGTGGCTGCATGTTGGAGCGGCTCTGTTGCTTTCATTTTGAGATTTTGCTTTTGGAAACTTTAATTCCTCTTTTTCTGGATGTGGGTCACGTTTTTTTGGATGATTGTTTCCTCTGGTGTCAGACGCTGTGCAGCTGGAAGGATTTTTACTGAAACTTTTTTAGTTTTGGACATTTGTTATGATGCGTAACCATGGCAACAAGGCAGTTTTCTACAACCAACAGCAGCTGATTAACATCTCAAAAGCTCAAATAATATCTCAACTACAGCCCCAAATCTCAAATGAGTTGAAAAGGAGGCTCTGTAGATGAATTCCCCTCTCCCTGCCTGCTGTGCTCGAGTGCCTGAGCACTGAGATCCTGGAACTAGCACGAAACACGGCTCGTGACAGCAGAAGGAATTGATCGTCCCCTTGCACCTGCAGGCTGCTGGGAGAAGTGACCATCACTCTGGGAGGAGTTCTGCCCAGCATTCGGGCGGTCCGGCTGCCTGGAGGAACCAAAAGGCCAACCGAGTCTGGGTGGACGGATCGGACAGCATCTGCAGCTATTTTCTTTGGAGCAGCACTTGCTCTGGAAATCTGATAGTTCCATATTAGTATCGTTTTCTTCTCAGCAGTCATCTTAACTTCTGCAGCTACATTATCAAACAAATACCTTTATGGCATGTTCATTTTCTTAACTGGTTTAGCTGCATTATATCAGTTGTTTTATGAATGAAATTATTACACTTAACAAACTTTCCTCAGTCAGTTGTAGCTTTTTTGATTAACTGCAGTACAAGATTTTTCTTACAAAGCAAAGTTGATGAGTGAGCTCTTGTTTTTGCTACCAGTCCTACTGAACCCACTGACTGTCCATAAGTTTAAACTAGGGGTGCACCGATTGCAGCTTTCTGGCTGATCACTGATTTCTAAAAAGCCTGACCTGCCGATACCGATTTTCTTTTATAAGCAACACTGTCGGGTGTTATAAGGTCAAAATGCACCTTCGATTTTCCAATATTAATTTATTGGAAAAACATACCCTTGAACAATATCCTAGAAGCAATACAAACTTGTTTTAACTGGCCATGAGGTAGCGCTCTGAAATATAAATGAAGTTTAGACAATTGTTGTTAAAACTAAAAAAATCAGTAAAATCGGTTTCTCATGCACGTATCAGTCGATTTCCCAAAACTAAGGAAATCGGGGCCGTTAAATTGGTGCACCCCTAGTTTAAACTTGAAGAAAAATTATATTTCTAGCTACTTTATTTACTGTCACTTTGTTTTCCTCAACCACTGCGTGCTTGACAAGTACTAAAATGAGTACTAATATACTCTGCGATACATATTGTCAAAAATCTTTGTCCTAAATGTACCTTGTTTATTTTACTGTCTAATCATGTGCTGAACGCAAATACTGCTACACATAGAGCTCAAGTCATCAATATTAGAAGTGTGCCTTAAAAAAAGCTTTAAAGAAAACCACTAAACTGTACAGCATCTGAGAGACTGAATTATCACTAGTTAATGAAGTGGTTAATCTGATGTTTGGAAAAAGTTTAAGTACGGTTTTGGTTTTACTTGTTTGTAAAAAGAAAAAATGTCAGAAGTTTAATTAATTTTTTTAAACTTTTTTTGTATTTAAGTAATTTTTATTACCCATCATCTTCCAGGCTTCTGAGACCAAACAGCCAACTAATACGAACAAAGGCCTCCCAGCTGAACACGGAGTAGTCACTAATGGAACTGAAAGCCAAAATGGCCAACCAGAGTTTGAGGAAAAGAAGAAGCTAAACAAGCGGGAACGTAAAGAGGCCCGTCAGCAAAAGAACAAGAAGGCTGCGATGGGTGATAAAACACCAGCTGCTCAAGAGCCCGAAAACAACCAAACTGGCAAAAAAACAAAGAACAGGAAGAGAAAATGTGGAGATGAAGAAGCTGACGATGAAGGGCAGCATGAGAATGGTGCTGAAAATCCAACTTGTGCTAAGAAAACAAAAAGTAAGTCAAATTTTCACCGACTCTCTGTCTCTTACTCTGTGATTAATAAAAACATGCTGTTTGTAATCAGGCCTTTTTTCCTTTGATAGTGTAGAAGTGTATGAAGCTGCAGTTTAATGTAAAACTTTCCATCATTTTTGATTTTATAAAGCTTCCAATGTTCTCATGACTGAGGAGACCGAGGATCAAGCTGCCTCTCAGGGTAACATGGCTTTTTTATGACTTGTGCTCATTCAGATCTAATTAAATAAAGCTTCTTCTTCTTTTTCTGCATATGAACTAACTCATGAATTAAAGCATATTCACCCCCATATTCTTTGACTTCAGATTTCCGATTGGCATTGTGCTTAAAAAAAGTGTTTTTGATAAAGCCAGCAGATGTCACCGTTGCATTTTTGTACACATCTGTCCAATAAGCCTTGGTCAAAATAGTCTGGACAGGAATTTGATTTATGTTTTTGATTCCATCTAAAGGCAAATTTAACTGGAAAGGAAACATCAGAGCAGTACTAAGAGAGGCACCGGACCAGGAGCTGTCGGTGAAGAAACTCAGGAAAAAGGTGCGACACACAGAGAATGATTCCAGCGTGCGTCTTCTTCTTTTTACAGCCAACTTCTAAATATAATTCAAAGAATTGCCCGTGGTGTTTTTTCTTGTCTTTTGCAGATTTTGGCAGCCTATTACTCTTTCACTGGTGACAGGAATATTAAGACAGAAGAGGAAGTATTTGCACTTTTTAACCAGAAGATCAACAAAAATCCCAAATTCAGAGTTTTGAAAGATCGAGTCAAACTAATTAAGTAGACTCTCCTTATATAGGCATGCTTGTAGAGTTTTAAAATTAAAATGGTATTGTTGCAACCCTGGCTTGTAGGTTTTTTTTTTTTTATACCTTTGACACGGTCCTAAAGATTAAATGGTTTTATGCAATGGACCTGGTCAGTGTAATTTATACCAGCTTACCTAGAACGTGCCAGTGCTGTTTGATGTATAAGATGACAATGTTGATGGAAGATTACTCTGCACATTCCACGCGCACGGTAAGGCCACAAAATGGCACCTTATCTGTAGGATTGGATGTTGGAGTGGGGGAAGGGAAATGGGAGAGGTCCGCCCGAGGTGAATTGGACTCTCACATGGGACGAAGCTAATGCGCATTCCTCCGCGCTGCGAACGGGGTTCACTTGGCTGAAGACACAGAAGCTCCATAGAATCAAGATGCTTGGTGTTAGCCTCAGGTGAAGTTTCAATGCTTTCTGATTTCCACGGCTGGAATGAGCGATCTCCACACACACACACACACATGCACTGAGAGTAAATCAGCCCAGCTTTATGAAGCTCTTCTAATCCCAGCAGGTTTAACACTGATGCTCATTCATCGCACTGCGCACCTGTAACAGTATATTGCTTGCTCTTGGTTTTAGTCGAGCTGTTACTCAAATTTGCTAGTATTAAAATTATGTTTTCTAGTCCACTGTGCTTCAGTGGGGCTTAATTCTTGTATTTTAATCCAGACCACACAGAGTACTGAAATGAGTCCTGCCTTTGTTGTTGTGGGGGTAAAGAATCAGATCGAAATTAATATTCATTTCATTAAGATGATGAATTGCACCAACATCACAGCTGAACTTGTCAATTTAGACTATAAAGTGCAACAATAAGTCTTAGGTATGTATTTGCATACCTACAGTTTTTGTTTCCACTAAACTGGTATTTGTAAAATTTGTTAACTTGGACTAATTCAATTACCAGACTTAAAACGTTGTATTGGTGTACTCTATTAATTTTGATTTTTAACATGGCTATAACATTTATTAAGGTGTTTTAATGTTAAAAATAAACTAGTGACGATCCCTATGCAACTTTTGCTGTAGAGAACATCAAGAAGGTGCACAGTTCTTATAAACAACTGTTGCCAATCATCTCAGGTGGACCTGTTCATCAAAAAAGTTATTAATTAGAATATTTATCTTAAACATGTTTTTTTAAATGTAAGTTTAACGTGATTAAATATATCTGTACAGAAGTGGTTAACTGTTAGAGGTTCAAGCTGATGTTAAACGTAGACGCAATGATCCATAAAGGATTCACCTTTCTTCAGTTTGCATGTTCTTCTTTTGTCTATTTCAGAGTTTAAAAGTAGGACAGCAGTGTCAAACTCTTGCTTTATGTAAAACTATATAGTAAGTAAAGATGAACTCTGAATAGTTGCTGCTGTCATGCACATAAAGTGCAAAATAAATGAAAAAAAAAAAAAAATATATATATATATATAATCCAACTTTAAAAAGTACCGTGAATCCCAGGAAGGAAAGGCAGATAAAGCACATTTTTAATTTGCACAGATAAACGTGTATTTTGAAAAATTATTAAAAATGTAAATTCTTATTAGACGTTCTGGATGTTTTCTTATCAGCGTCAAACAAAAACTACAAGAGTCGCGATCATTGCGTCATTAACAAGCGACTGCGCGTTCAACAGGAAGTGCCTTTAAATCATTGGTTAGCTTCTAGAGCTAATGTGAGTTGAGACAAAATGTTGAATGACAGCGAGTTTGTCACTTTGAGGAACAGATTTAAAAAAGATGCGGAGTTTCTTATGCAGACCACGACTGTCGAAGATGAAAAGAGTAAGCTTCAAAATTGTTATGTTGCTGTTATGTTGAATTAGCTAAATTATTAGCCATTTTCCCGTCAGACTCATGATAAATCCTGAAAGATGACCCAATTATTATGTTGCACAAATTTGACGTGTTAGTTCGAAGTGAACTTAAATTGTGGTAAAATTACAGCGCAAAAAACCCCACCATGAATAATAAGAGTTAACTTTTAGCAGTGTTATGCACGATATGTGTGTCACATACACAAACTGTGAGGATATGGTGCTGTGTTTTGCATGTCTCTTGTTTTAGGTATGGTTTAGATTTTTTTAATCATCTTGGTTTGATTGATTCTTGTACATGCTCATTTTGTTCCCTGGTTTGTCTTCCTGGTAGTTTTTTTCTGCTCACTGAAGCTCCAATTCAATTCAGTTTATTTATATAGTGCCAAGTCACACCAGAAGTCATCTAGGAGCAGACTGCTTTGAATTTAACTCCATCACAGAACTCTCATCTTGAGAGCAAGCTTGAAGGCGACAGTGGAAAGGAAAAACTCCCTCATGAGGAAGAAACATTTAGCAGAACCAGGCTCAGGACAAGTGGTCAAATCCTTCGACCGGCTGGATTTGGGAGGAACAGCTACACAATGTCAAGTCGAGAATCACGTTAAGATGGAAAGATTATCAAATAGAAACTATTCATTTTTAACAATTAATTTTAGGAAATGAGGATAGTTTGTTTTTCGGTAGCCTAAGCCTATAGCAGCATAACAAGCCAATCCTAACTATAGGATTTATCAAAAAGGAAAGTCTTAAGCCCAGTCTTAAAACTGGACAACGTGTCAGCCTCACAACGGAAACTGGAAGTTGGTTCCACAAGAGAGGAGCCTGATAACTGAAAGAGCTTCCTCCCATTCTGCTCTTGGAAACTCTAGGAACCGCAAGTAAGCCTGCAGTCTGAAAGCGAAGTGCTCTGTTAGGAAAATATGGAATAATAAGATCTCTAATATAAGATGGAGCTAGGTTGTTGAGGGCTTTGTAGGTTTGCCTTAAGATTTTGAATTAAATTCTGGATTTGACAGGTAGCCAATGGAGAGAAGCTAAAACTAGAGATATGATCTCCAGTTTAGACTCTGACAGGTGGCAGCATTTTGGTTTAACTGACGGCTTTAAAGAAGTCTTTGGACACCCAGATAACAAGCCATTGCAATAGTCCAGTCTACATGTGATAAATGCACGAACCATTTTTTCTGCTTCATTTTTAGATATGTTTTTATATTTGGCGATATTACGCAGGTGGAAGAAGGCGGTTCTAGTAACGTTTTTAATGTGGGGGATAAAAGACATGTCCTGATCAAAAATAACACCAAGAGTTTTAGCATTAGAGCTGGAGGACAGATTAATGTCATCTAAGGAGGGAGAAAGACTGAAAAATGTATTCCTAAGATGCTCGGGTCCAAAAACCAAAACCTTAATGATGATGATTGTTAATCATTACACCTGCTCATTGTCTCTTCATTATCTTCCCCTCATTTTACATAGTTCTTGTTTTTTAGTCACCCCTTTACCAAATCCTTATTTGTCATGTTTAATTTACTCTGCCAGTCTTAATTTATATATTCCTTTTGTAATTTCCTGCTCCTTTGTTGTAATTGACAAAAACTTGTGAATCATCTACCTGCCTCTTGAACAAATGCATTTAAGTCCTACAAGTACAATTTGCAACAGTGACTCTATCAAGTTTGTCCTGATCGGACATTGAATGTGTCATTTTAAACTGTCATTAATTTTATTATGATTAGTCCAGTAGTGTTTGCAAGCAACTTATCTAACTTCAACTTTGTTTACAATCCACATTACAGTAATGAAAAATATATAACAGGAGTGATTGCATGTTTTCGCCCGCTCTGTGTCTCGTAGCCACTATGTACAAGTGGACAATTATACAACTTTGAGAGCCTCACTGACAAAAATCCAGCAGCTCTTAATTGTTTTGTCTGTGAACAAAAGCTGTGTCCTTGTGACAACTTGTTTTTACAAGCTAGACCTTTAGATCTGACTTACGAAGAGGTATGGTTAGTTGCCTGTTCTAGCCATGGTAGGGAACTCTAAACAGCCTTCTAGCCTGCTTAACCACTTCAGCAGCCAAAAACAAGCCCTGATATGTTTAATCAACCATTAAATTATGGAGATTAGAAACTTACTGACAGGAAAACATGTCTCAAAAAAGAAATAAACAGCTTATATTTGGAAGAGAAGATATGCGCCTTTTGTAAATATTAGGTACATTTTGTATTTGGTTGTAGGTGCAGGGAGGAAGATAAGTATTTGAACACCCTGCGACTTTGCAAGTTCTCCCACTTAGAAACCATGGAGGGGTCTGAAATGTTCATCTTAGGTGCATGTCCACTGTGAGAGACATAATCTAAAAAAATAATAATTCGGAAATCACCATATATGATTTTGCCCTGTGATGGACTTGCGACCCATCCAGGGTGTACCCCGCCCCTCGCACAGTGATTGTTGGACATGGGCACCAGCGACCCCCGTGACCCAAAATGGAATAAGCGGGTAAAGAAAATGGATGGATGGATGGACCATATATGATTTTTAATAATTTATTTGTGTGTTACTGCTGCAAATAAGTATTTGAACACCTGTGAAAATCGATGTTAATATTTGGTACAGTAGTGTTTGTTTGCAGTTACAGAGGTCAAATGTTTCCTGTAGTTTGTCACCAGGTGTGCTCACACTGCAGCAGAGATTTTGGCCCATTCCTCCACAGAGATCTTCTCTAGATCAGCCAGGTTTCTGGGCTGTCACTGAGAAACATGGAGTTTGAGCTCCCTCCAAAGATTTTCTATAGGGTTTAGGTCTGGAGACTGGCTAGACCACTCCAGAACCTTGATATGCTTCTTACGGAGCCACTCCTTGGTTCTCCTGGCTGTGTGTTTCAGGTCATTGTCATGTTGGAAGATCCAGCCACGACCCATCTCCAATGCTCTAACTGAGGGAACGAGGTTGTTCCCCAAAATCTCACAATACATGGCCCCGGTCATCCTCTCCTTAATACAGTGCAGTCATCCTGTCCCATGTGCAGAAAAACACCCCAAAGCATGATGCTTCCACCTCCATGCTTCACAGTAGGGATGGTGTTTTTGGGATGTACTCATCATTCTTCGTCCTCCAAACACGGCGAGTGGAGTTAAGACCAAAAAGTTCTATTTTGGTCTCATCTGACCACATAACTTTCTCCCATGACTCCTCTGGATCACCCAAATGGTCATGGGCAAACTTCAGACGGGTCTGGACGTGTGCTGATTTAAGCAGGGGAACCTTCGTGCCATGCATGATTTTAAACTATGACGTCTTAGTGTATTACCCACAGTAACCATGGAAACAGTGGTGCCAGCTCTCTTCAGGTCATTGACCAACTCCTCCCGTGTAGTTCTGGACTGATTCCTCACCTTTCTTAGGATCAATGATACGCCACGAGGTGAGATCTTGCATGGAGCCTCAGTCCTAGGGAGATTGACAGTCATGTTTAGCTTCTTCCATTTTCTAATAATTGCTCCAACAGTTGATCTTTTTCCACCATTGCTTGGCAATTGTCCCGTAGTCCTTTCCAGCCTTGTGGAGGTCTACAATTTTGTCTCTGGTGTCTTTGGACAGCACTTTGGTCTCAGCCATGTTAGTAGTTGGAGTCTTACTGATTGTGTGGGGTGGACAGGTGTCTTTATGCAGCTACAGGATTTCCACAGGGCTGTGTGCTTCCCCCCTGCTCTTCTCCCTGTACACCAACTGCTGCACCTCCAGCCACGACTCTGTGAAACTTAAGTTTGCAGATGACACCACCCTCATCGGGCTCATCTCGGACAGTGATGAGTCTGCATACAGGAGGAAGGTGGACCGGCTGGTGACCTGGTGCAGCAGCAACAACCTGGAACTCAATGCCCGGAAGACAGTGGAGATGATTGTGGATTTCAGGAAAGCCACAGCCCGTCTGCCCCCCCCTCACCTGTAGTGATACCCCCATCACCACTGCAAACTCTTATCGGTTCCTCGGCACCACCATCACCCAGCACCTCAAGTGGGAGCCGACCATCAGCTCTCTCATCAAGAAGGCCCAGCAGAGACTGTACTTCCTGCGTCAGCTGAAGAAGGCCAAGCTGCCGACCAAGCTGATGGTGCAGTTCTACACGGCCATCATCGAGTCCATCCTCAGCTCCTCCATCACGGTGTGGTACGCCGGGGCCACTGCCAGGGACAGACTCAGACTGCAGCGCGTTGTGCGCTCAGCTGAGAAGGTGATCGGCTGCAGCCTTCCATCCCTCCACGACCTGTGCGTCTCCAGGACTGTGAGGCGAGCAGGTCGGATCACAGCTGACCCTGCTCACCCTGCACACGGACTGTTAGAACCACTCCCCTCAGGCAGGAGGCTTCGGTCCATTCGGACCAGAACCTCCCGCCATAAGAACACTTTCTTCCCCTCTGCTGTTGGACTCCTGAACACTCATAATGTTACCTCATAATATCTGCTTTGGTCACATTACATCTGTATTATAATTGAATTCTCCATCTGTACTGTTTTCCAAGTTTGTTTTAATTGTTTTTTATTGTATGGGTGTACACATGTTTTATGTTATGTTTTCATTTTATACTTTATTTTACTTTTTTGTTTTTTGCACCTTTATGTCAAAGCAAATTCCTAGTTTGTGAACCTCGTTCATTGACATGGCAATAATAAACTGATTCTGATTCTAACGACCTCAAACAGGTGCTTCTAATTAAAAATAATAAGTGGAGGTGGACTTTTTAGAGGAGGACTAACAGGTCTTTGAGGGTCAGAATTGTTGCTGATTGGCAGGTGTTCAAATACTTATTTACAGCATTAACACAAAAATAAATTATTAAAAAATCTTGCATTGTGATTTCCGATTGTTTTTTTAGATTATGTCTCTCACAGTGGACATGCACCTAAGATGGAAATTTCAGACCCCTCCATGATTTCTAAGTGAGAGAACTTGCAAAGTTGCAGGGTGTTCAAATACTTATTTTCCTCACTGTGTATAAAACACTGTCTCTTAGTATGTTAGTATTATTTTTGTCTTTCGTGTCTACATACAGTATCTACATAACGGATGCAAATGTCTCAGACTTCAGTCAAAAATTTGTTTGCATTTCTGTTACTAGCTATAATTCTCTTCAAGTAAATTGCTAATAAAAGTCCCAGTACTTAAATCTTTATACTTTTGAAGTCTTTAAATACATTTTCAGTTGAATACATGGTGTTTTAGTCTTTTCAAAGCTTCAACATTTTTTTTTAACCTTTCAGGTCAGGATGAAAAAGATGTGAAACCTCTCCCTCGTATCAACAAACACTCTGTTTTCTGGATTTTGGCATCTGTAGCTGTGACCTATTATGCAGATTTCTTCCATGTCATTATGGAAAATGATGATATCAAAAGGTAAAAAGTTTTATATTGAAGAAAAGCTGTAACTGTAAGGTAAACAAAAATTAAATGCTATAAATGTAGGTTTTGGGTTCAGTCAGTTATTGTATGAGAAGTTAGTAAAACACAGTAGATGTGTCAGGTCAATACTTTACTCTGAGCATATCATTAGTAGAAAACAGTTATGTGAATAAAAGTCTGCTTCCAGTTGTGTTAAGTGTGAAACTGAATACATGACCAAGACAATTGCCTTGCTTTCTTTTATAAAAACTTTACCTATGACTAAATATGTTGCTCATTACTTCCTGTTCAAACAATAATGACATGCCTCTGCAATAAAACAACAACTTTTAAATGTGTTTAGGTAATGATAAAAAGAAAAGGCATTGGCTATGATTTTGGAAAAGTAAGCTTTGATCTTTACCAATCTGAACAAATTAATCAGTTTAGAGTTTAATCGTTTTACTGAAAGTGTTTTTCACAAGAAGAAAGAATTTATGACCGCTGCCTGTCTTCCAACATGTTTAGCCAGAGGTTAGACCACACAGTGGTCAGAGAAACTGCCCAGGAGAAACATCTAAGACTGTAGGTGCAGCTAAAAAAAATTGAATATCGTGAAAAAGTCCAATTTCTTTAGTCAATCATTTCAATTCAATTTTTCAATTCAGTTTATTTATATAGCGCCAAGTCACAACAGAAATCATCTCAGGGCACTGAACAGAAACATTCATATGTAAAAATAATAATTTAAGACTTTATCTGAGGAGCAGACTGTTTTTAGTTTTATTCCATCACAGATCTCTCATTTTGAGCAAACATGAAGGTGACAGTGGAAAGAAAAAACTCCCCCATGAGGAAGAAACCTTTAGCAGAACCAGGCTTAGGACAAGTGGCCATTTGCTTCGACCGGCTGGATTTGAGAGGAACAAATACACAATGGCAAGTCAAGAATCACATAAGATACAAACCGGATTCCAAAAAAGTTGGGACACTAAACAAATTGTGAATAAAAACTGAATGCAATGATGTGGAGATGGCAAATGTCAATATTTTATTCGTAATATAACATAGATGACAGATCAAAAGTTTAATCTGAGTAAATGTAACATTTTAAAGGAAAAATATGTTGATTCAAAATTTCACAGTGTCAACAAATCCCAAAAAAGTTGGGACAAGTAGCAATAAGTGGCTGG